TTTTCTTCAGGCGAACGGGTACCTAATTAACAAGTGGGGAAAATTCTTTGATTTTGATGATTTCAATCATGATGGAATTCTTTCATTTGAAGACCCCAAAGCATTTCTGTAAGTGAACATGTATTACTGAAACTTAATTAGAATATTAGTATGGACAATCTAGAATCAATTAATTACTCTAGCTCTCACAAAAACCGATGAATACATAACTTGAGACAAGGGCTCTGTCACTTTAAAAGATTTATTAAGCATATGGAATAGAATATTGCAAAATACCGGTGGTCATGATTTATCTCGTATTCACAATTTCAAATTTTATGAATTGAAGATTTCAAAATACATAATGCTCGAATCTAACTTAATGAATTGAAAAAAATAACTTAGTTTAAAGGAATTTCTCGATTTCAACTAGTAATTAAAGGCAATTTAGTCACCACGTCTGATCGATTCATAACATCATTAACATCATCTTGCAGGGAACATTATAAAGCTCGTGATGATCTGACTGATAAGCAAAAAAACAAGATCATAAAAGAAATGGATAGACTATGGAAGGTCTTCTATTTCACAAACAAGAAAGAACTCTCCAAAGATGACTTTATAAACATGATGAAACAAAGGTATGAATCCAACATAACTGCATGTATTGAGCTGGTGCGTGCGTTTTCAACGGATTGGTGCAAATTGTTAGACTTGGATGAAGACACATTTCTTTCAAAAAATGAATTCATTATGGACTTTGTTGCTGGAACGCACAACAATACCCAAATAGACGAGCAATTTTTCTACATGTATAATCCCGTTAATGATCGTTTTCCCGTTGACGATCTCATCGAGTCTTGTGTTATCTTTGCAACTGAACCCGACAGCTCAAAACCGGACATTTTCTTAAATGGAATACTTATCGGAGTTTGAATAATAATTGTTTTGAAAACATTTGATGAAATTTGGTTTTGAAAAGAAAGAGTTAATAAATGTGTTTTTTTTCGCATATCAATATATCGGCTAATCTTATTATATAAAAAATCATTAAATATGTAAATTAGATTCAAACTCTTTGTTGAGTCCTTTATCTTAGAAAGAAGGGAAGATATTTTAGTGGTATAAAATGACCGACATGCAATATCTCGTCAAATGATCAGACTTTCGTTTTGTTTGGTGCCTTCTGGGTGCCCTACTTGGGTGTGTCCGGAGGCGGCGTCCTGTGAACGTTGCTTTTGCCTTGTTGATCTTTATTATTATTTTTTGTTGAAACAAAACACTTAATGGCGCAAATGCCACAATGATATTACATAAACATATTATAATTTTCTCGAAACGAACATAAAACGTAAACCATTTGTTACATTCCGTGATAAAATGGTGGAATTGTTTTCATACGTAATAATCTGATAAGCACGTTTATTTTTGTCCCTGTGCCAAATCATATAAGAAAACTTAAGTCTTGGTTTTGAGTAGTTAAAAGCCTAAAAGGCTTATTCTGAGAAATAAAATCATCATTAATTTAGGACTTCGTTTCACCTTAATATGATTATAAAAAGCATAATAATGTGAAATTGAGTCATGCTTACACTTGGTTTTAGTACTAAGCGCTGACAAGGATATCATTTCTCTTAATAAAGTTTTTTCTAATCGTAATTAGGAGTAATATAATGTTATTTAGACTGTATGTGTTCTAATTCAAAATTCTTCAAGTCATAATTTAACCTCCTTATTAGTAGATAGAGTGTCCAATAAATGTTGTTGTTTTTTCTCTCCTAAAATCGTGTTTAATATAAAATCATTATTAGACTTTCATTTTATGCTTTGGCATTCCTTATGTATTAGGAGAACATATAACAGTCCTAATTTGGTTTGGTTTATAAAGTTATAACTATGGCAATTGAAATTATAACAGACATAAACGCTTTTTACTTCTAAGTCCAACTGTTCATTAAGGATTTTTTTGTTGAATTATGTAAATTGAACAAATTTGTTCGATAAGTTAATTAATATATTTTCATTCAGGCATCACTTATCATAGTGACTAGGTTATAAGTGTCTATACAGGTATTGGTCAGGAGAAAGAAATGTCAACTGTTTAACCTGATGGTTCCGTTAAACTCGTCTCCTTATAAATTACAAATAAACTTTTGGACTTTTCTTGGACTGGTCATTCGAGACCTTTTGTTGCCTTTTTTCTAAAATTCCCAATATATGTCAAATTTAACGGTAACTTTACCATCATAAACACACATCTTAGAATTTAACCGGTCTTCGACTGAAGTAAAAAGCTATTATTATAGAGGAACTTCTTGTATAAAAACGATTGCAATTTTCACTTCTGAAATAAAACAAAGGTGTATTTGAATCGAATCATACCAATAATAAGGCATTATCATATTTTGAATTAATTAGATATTATTTTAAGTAAATCCTTTATAACCCAACGTCATAGTCACACACACTGTCATTAAAATATCAAACCAGATACATGTATATGAAAAGTGAATCCATAAGGACCTTTCTAAATTTATCTACGCCAGAAAAAGCAAATACAAAAACAATTTTTTGCAATCAACATTGCGTAAAAAAATAAAATTAAATCACGTTTACAACCGCTTTTGTTTGTTTGTTTGGATTTTTACGGTACGTCAACACATAACTGGCCATAACGTGCCGAATGCTAAAATAGGCTTAAACTGTTATGTGAAACTTTGTAAATGACAATGAAAATGAGCCAATTAGTTCCTTGAATACAAGTTTATCTCTTACAAATAATCAATGATGTTTTTTTTAAAAAATTGTATTAAAGAGATCTTTGAGTAAATGTACATAATAAAATTTATAACGGGCCTGTGGAAAATCATGACATTCAAGAAGAAAATGTTTGACAGTAAATTTTCATTACAAGCTACACAGAAAGGGGCATTGTCATTCGTGAGGAGATACGTGTGGTTATTTATTTTTTTTTTTTGACTGAACCGACTAAAGGACAATATGATAATACAATATGATACACGTATATAAAAACAAAGTGTACATTCAAAGTTACATATTGTCATTTTCAGCATCATATTTAATATTTTTAAGTCGAAAAAGAAAACTATGTTATAAACAATAAATTCTATTTCAGTACCTTACATTTAAGATGACGCATTTATTTCCAGAGAAATATGTTTCGTAAATGAACTATTGCTTTAACATGAAACGGATCTTCTGCATAACATGTTGCTTATACATGTACATGTATAACATATTTTGCAAAAAAAAAACGTTGTGTTATTTGCATTATGCATCTAACATCTGTTTCATTTACACAAGAAATACATTGCGACAAGAACATTTAAACAAAACGCGACATATTTGATCAATAAAGATCGGGAATGCTTCAAATTTATTTTGATTACAGCAGATGTGTTTGTAGTTAACGCCACATTGACATGTTACTGGTCATACCGCGCCGACAGTATAACTATGACAATAAGAATGCAGGAAAATGCGGTGTCAAGGTACACATTATACCATTAGATGTTGTCGTAGAAATTAGTTTTATATTGACAGAAGCACGTGTAAGATACCTTTTGATATATGAAACCCGTTTTGAATTCGGCAAAATTGAGATTTTCACATCATTTATTTTTTGGCTCATTGAGCTCTAAATCGATATATTTCCTATTCAACAAATCCGTAACTCACTTGTTTACACCAAACTTTAATTCTGTCCAATCACACATTCCGAGTTTGTACCACGTGATAATGACACAATCTGTAATGGCTGCTAATACTATCACAACCAAATATTTCAAGATCCTTTAGTGATTTATTTCATGATGACTATAGTACATTACATGACTGTCAATTAGTTTCTATAGATATAGTAAACGCATTGAATAGGTACATATGTATTCGGATGGTCACCATATCGGACAACCTCGATTTATTGATATATTCTAAAAATTAAAGTAGACTTTTAATTAATAAAAAGGGCATCGAATTCTTATTAAGCAACGAACATGTTTGCTTCTCTAAAGCTTCTTATTTTTAAGTTTTGTACTTTTTGAAACGGTGCGTGTTATATAGCTGAACCTTTTGTTGTTTTATTTGAATTTTGGGGAGTTATAGTTTTTATATATTTTTGTATGAAAGACAAAATACCACTAGGTTTACGTTTAGCTACTATAACGACAAATTATTTTAGATTCATCTCTGTTTTCTACACTCTAAACAAATTATTGGTACATTATAAGAACATAGGTTTGCCATTTCGAGATACCTTAAGACACATATCATATTTGATTGAAATATTTAATAAGTCTTAAACCCTATTTTAGCAAAATGTTTTACTTGTTTGATTTTTGTGTTAATTTTCAGTTAAGATGTTAATTATACATGTATATAGCCTTAGTAGTAAGTAGAACCTTTAGAATTATCATAACTAATATGTGTTGGAACTGCCCAGACCTCTCAATCCCAAGTGTATCTATGAAGTATTCATGGATTTTCTTGGGGGACATTCCTTTCTTACAGAGGTACTTAATGACGGCTTTGATTTCAACTTTCTCCAATTGGTCTAAATGACACACCCCTCTATTTATCAAAGTGTGTTTTGTTTTGTGGTTTGGTGCCTCCTGGGTGACCTGCTTGGTTGTGTCGGGGGGTTGCATGAATCCTTTGCACGTGGCTATTGCCTTGTTGATCATCATTCTTGTTTTTTATGTTACTTAAACTTTGTACAGCCGCGTGTACCTCGGTCAGTAGTCTTCAATAAGATATCGGTATGGACGTATCGTGTGTAAATGTCAGTGTAGTGGCTAGAAGTATATCGGGCCGAGAACGTTTTGATCATACCTCGTACATTATATTTTAGTACCATTATATACAATGATTTATTTTTGTTCTCGATATGTTTTAAGATTTCATTTTACATTGTTAGATACAATCTGAGAACAATCAAACTTGAAGATTCACTTCTGATATTGAAGCACAACTACCGGTTTATAATTTAGATTCTAGTTACACAAATAGCATAGTCATTCATATACAACATGTACAACATATCAATACAAATGAACTTAAGTACATGCTTTTGAAATGTTGAAGTACATATCATTTGATAGATGAAATGTTGTGTTTGAAGTTACAATCATACAATGTTATGTAATATTTTACACACTAAGTTAAGTTTTAATGATAATTTATACTTGAATTGTTGTTGTGTTTCCTGCCTAATATTGCAAGTCAATTTTGCTTCAAATGTTTCACTGCAAACACCATATCTCGCTACAAGGATGTAGAAATGACCTGAATGTCTGTTTGCTTAAACAGTCATTGCAGTTCAATATTTCAAATGCGATTTTCTAAAATAGGCATACGGGTTTGAAGAATTATATCCCCTGCAATTTTCGACACTATACAAAGATTCCTAACAGAGTCATATGAACAAGACAGCAAAAAGAAACCATGAAACAACTATTCAAAAAACCTCCATTAAAACCAGTTTTATTATCTTGGGCAATAAATGTGATATTTCTATACTCGGGTCGACATGCGTAATGAGCCTTTAAACTAAAAAGCAAGAATGTGTTGTTGTAGTACTTGTACGATCAGTATATATAACAGGCAACAATATTGTTTAACAAGTATAAGACGGAGCAACGATTCATGCAAAATATGACGTTTTGGACGGTTCTTTTGTTATATGCTTTGAGTTACAAAGGTAATTTATTGTGATCATAACAGTATAAAATTTATGCTAGTTATCGTTCAGTTCAAAGCCTTGAGGTTTTTACGTCACTTAGGAAGGAGTTTGAATAATTGTATCTTGAATATTTATATGTTTTATTAACTTTAACTCTTTAATTTACTTTATATTGGAGATATTCACATTATTTGTTCCCTTATCATCTTTTTTTATTTATTTATTTATCTGTATTGGTGTTAAATCTCTTTCGATTTAACATAATTATTCTTTACCGTCTGTTTATTAGAGATGACTAAAGTATCATAATATCCGTTTTGTAATATTTGCATCACATTTTAAGGTAATGA